AACGTACATCAGAGAGATTGTACGACTCCATGGTGTGCCGATAATCCATTATCTCGCGATAGAGAATAGTAGATTTCCTCACGGTTTTGGCAGTCTCTACAAAAATCCTTGGGAACTAGGCTTGACATGATAACACCTACCACCCACAAACCGACGAACAGAGCAACGAACCATTCAATACGTGAGAAAGACATGTTAAAGCTTGTGTGAGAGACTTCGGTAAGCATGGGATAACCACTCCCTTATCGAATTCTCCTACAATACAAACAGCTATCATACTAGCATCAAAGCGCTCCATTCGAATCTCTTTACGGTCGCAAATGCAGATCACCCCTGTGTTGGGCTGAGTGGGGGATACACAACTAGCTAGAGGCCAAAGTCCTAAAGCACCCTCAATGGCCCTGAAATCATAAGGAAATCACAGAAAAGATCGTTCAAAATTCAGAGAAAGAATGAAAGCGTCTCGCGATCGGCAAAAGAGTTACACAGACAAACGAACGCACAACCCTTGGAATCCAGGTGGGTGATCGTGTACTACTAAAAGTTTCCCCTTGGAAAGGAATGATACGATTAGGTGCAAACGCGGAACTAAATCCAAGGTCCATCGGGCCATTCGAAATCCTTGCTAGGATTGGGCCAGTAGCATACAAACTTCGATTACCTTAGGAACCGACAAAGTACATCCCACATTTTACGTGTCGAACCTAAAGAAGTGTTTGTCTGATGAGACACTCGTAATACACTCGACGAAATCGAAGTTAACGAAAACTCCACTTCGTGGAGAACCAGTCGAAATCATGGATCGGGAAATCAAACGAACGAAACAAAGTCGTATTCCCATCGTGAAGGTCCGTGAACGCTAAACGAGGACCCGATTCACCTGGGAACGCGGGATCAGATGAAACAAAAGTATCCACATCTCTTCCCAAACTCTTGAAATCCCAGTCAAAATGAAAATTTCGGGACGAAATTCCTTCTAACGGGGGGATGATGTGACACCCGTCAAATTTCGGTCAAGTCAAAGTCAAACACAGTCAACAAGTCAAACCGGTCAACTCCAATAACCCTTGTATGTTAGGGTTTACGTTATGTAATCACTATACATTCGCTATTTTAATGAGAAATCATCAGTTGGAAAGTTCATGTGTTTGATTTTCCT